TGTGTGTGTGTGTGTGTGTGTGTGTGTGTGTGTGTGTGTGTGTGTGTATGGGTGATGATGTCCTAGACAGCAGAGCAACAGGATCAATATACATTACACAAATGCGTCGAAATGTCATCATGAGACTCATTATGCTGTACAATTAATATACGGTAATAAAAAAAAAAGAAAGAATTAATAGTGAAAAAAGAACCCTAGCACCTGAATGAAAAACAAAAACAACATCAACAACAAAAACAGTACACTGTACACAACAACTGTTTGTTAGATAGTTCTCAAGGCTCAAGAACTAACTCACTACTCAAGACCTACACTGACTGGCTTGTCCTCTGGCTTTGTTCCACAAACAGCAGCAGTTGAAGGCTCAGCTTCTGTTGGTTACGTAAGCCTTGGCAAGGCTGTGATTTGGCCTCAAGTCCATTTCAATATGAAATTACCATTGAAACAAATTGAACTCTCAGCATGAAAAATCTCTTCAGAGATGAAAGATAATTAAATCATCCAGATATTTTCTCTGTAATAGACTTTACACTACAGAGGCAGCCAAGTCTTGCAAGAGCAAGTTAATCGAAATGTATTACTATCTTGTATGGCATAAGGGGGAAGAGAAGTGACCACATATTCATGAAAAAAATGGCTATATATTCATGTTTACTTGTATCTACAGAAAAAAGCATGGGTGTGTACACAAGGCACTGTCAAATACCTGGACTGGAAATGCAGAAGTGAGAGGTAGGAAAGGGAACAGAGTCGGCAGGGAGAGTTAACACTGCATTATTTCTTTTGATCCTTTTGCAATTACTGCACTGCCTGCTCAGAACACTAAAAATAATAAACTTGGCTAGCCTAAGGCTTTCATCGGAAAAAGCAGGCATATTTCAGTACTCCAAGTACTGGCTCCTTACTATATGAGTTTATATGTTCAGTCACAGCCCAGCTATTGACTATGTGACCTTAAACGTATATTTTTTCATTGACAGTAAAAGGAAAACATTGCATTCCACCAAGGTTAAATATAATAATAAACACAAAAAGGTTTTTAAAAATTATTATGTGTGTGCATGCATTCATGTCTGAATATGTGTATGTGCATGTGTGTGTAGTACTTTCAAAACCAGAAGAGGGCACTGGATTCCTTGGAGCTGCAGTAACAGGCCTCTGTGAACTGTCTGAGATGGCTGCTGGGAACTCAGCTCCAGTCTTCTGGAAAGCAGGAAGGACTCTTAACCACTGAGAAATCTCTCCAGCCCCAATCAACACAAAAATTACCACAGAACATGGTAATATTCAATAAATAATGGTTAGCATTATATTTTAAAAAAATTATCTCTTTCCAAATGTCATCTTCTAGGATTAAAGGAAAAATTAGAGGCAATATTTGTAACAAATATGATAACCACAGATTGTTATCAACCTCACCTCTCAAGAGACAAACCCAGAGCCCAACACATGCTAAGTAAGCACTCTACAGCTGAGCTATACCCTCAGCCAGGACTGATATCCTTAATATACAAAAAGCATACAAACTAATATAAACCATGCTAAAAATGTAATTCAGTTACTAGGCAAAATAAATGAAAGAATAACTCAGGACAGAAGAGATATTAATGTTAAATGCACATAGAAAACATGGTAAAGTTCACTAATAATTAAACATATAAACAGGCAATAAAATACATCCTTTTATACCACAGGACTCTTAGGTCCCTTGCTAGCCGTTCTAAAACAAACACAAACAAACAAAAATCTCAGGAAGCAGGAACCAGTAAAAGAGAGAGAGAGAGAGGAAAGAAAGAAAGGAAAGAAAAAGAGAAAGGAAGGGAGGGAGGGAGGGAGAAAAGAAAGAAAGAAAGAAAGAAAGGAAGGAAGGAAGGAAGGAAGGAAGGAAGGAAGGAAGGAAGGAAGGAAGGAAGAAATTGATTCATTTAGTTTTGGCCAGAACTGGGAAGAGAAAAATTCCCAGCCTCTCTACCTGGCCATATGCAATTTACAGAAATGATGAAACAAAAGCCAGGAATAATGCATGCATACATTTAGCTATAATTTAAGTTATCCAAGCTATGAGATAAGTCTTTCCTAGGAGTACTTTGGTACTGGTCTACCCTCACTGCCAGCACAGAAGAAATTCTGTTATTTAAAATTTTATATTTACTTATTTATTTACAGATAGGGTCTATGTAGCCCTGGCTGTCCTAGAACTCACTATATAGACCAGGCTGGTCTTGAATTCACAGAGTTGTTTCTGCCTCTGCCTCCCAAGTGCTGGGATTAAAAGTGTAAGCCACAACACTCAGAAAAAATTCTAATTTTTTAAAAAAGAATTTCTGTGTATGAGTGTTTTGCCTGTGTATATGTATGTCTGGTACCCATTTAGGCTAGCAGAGGGCACTGAAGCCCTTGAGAACTGGAGTTACATATAGTTATGAGCATCCATGTAGGTGCTAGAAATCTGGAAGAGAAGCCAGTGCTCTTTACTGCTGAGCCAATCCTCAAGCCCTGACAGTCTGGTTCCCTTACAGCTTCTGTATACGTAGACTTTAAAACTGAAAAATAGGATTTTTCCTTTTTTTTTTTTTTTTTTTTCTTTTAGACCAGTTCTAATGTCCTACCTTTCTAGGGAGCAATCTGGCATTAGCTATCAGGAGTTTTAAAATTGGCCTATTAATTATACTTCCAAGAATAATTTGCCCCAGTGAGATAAGAAATCTTAACAAAAAAGAAAGTCTTGAAAAAAAAAGTAGGTCACAGAAACACAAACAGAAGGGCTGGAGATGCAACTCGGTGGTAAGATATTTCCTCCCATGTGCATGGCCCCGGGTTCCTTCCCCAGCACTGGAAAACACGTAGAGAAGAATGTGAGAACACAGGGGTTGGGACCAGCATACCAGTTATACCCCAAGGAATGGCAGCATTCACCAGAAACTCAGAAGAGGTGAGAAGTGATTCTCCCTCAACCATTAAAGAGAACTAACCCTGCTAACACCCCTGTCCCACGTTTCTAACCTCCAGAACCATGAGACAGTGTAAGTAAAGTTCTATTGTTTTAGACACCCAGTTCATAATCATTAGTTGGGGATAGCTCTGTTTTTGCCAACACTTAGAATTGCTAGTCAGGCTGGGGTTTTGGTTGTTTTTATTATTATTATTATTTGTTTTGTTTTGTTTTTGTTTGTTTGGTTTTTGAGATAGGGTTTCTCTGCATAGCCCTGGCTGTCCTGGAATACACTCTGTGACCATGCTGTCCTCGAACTCAGAGATCTGTCTGCCTCTGCCTCCTAATTAAAGGATTAAAGGCATGTGTCACCACTACCAAGCAATTGGGTTGGTTTTATTTTTGAGGTATATTTATTTTTTGTATGTATGGATGTTTTGTCTGCATCTATGTGTACCACAAGCATGCTCAGTGCTCTTAGCGGCCAGAAAATGGGGTCAGATTCTCTGGAACTGGAGTCGCAGATGGTGTAAGCCACCATGTGGGTGCTAGAAATTGAACCTTAGTTCTCAGGAAGAGCAGCAAGGGCTCTTAACTGCTGTGCCACCTCTCCTACCCCTGGTTTTTGTTGTTGTTTGTTTGCTTGTTTGTTTTTAATGTTAGCCTTTCCGATAGGTAGGTAATAGTATCTCATTGTGTTTGTTTTCAGTTCAGATTTGAATACTTGACCTTAAGTGCCCTTTGCTTAGCCTCCCAAGTACACAGATTCATTGTGGTTTTAAGTGTCCCTATGACCAGTGAACTCGAATATGGTTGCATTTTATCTTGATGGGTTATTTGATACTGTCTTTGTAAAGTGTCTGAGTTGTCTGTCTGTTTTTTTTAGGTTATATGCTCTTTCTTTAGACTTACTGGAGGAATTCCTTATATATGCTAGCTGCAAGGTCTTTACGAACTGCAAATTCACACTGCCACCGCTTGGTTTTCATTTTTACTGCTGAAATAAGTCTTCCTTTGGGAGAAAATACACTTAAGGATTGAACCCAGTGTCCAGTGCATGCTGGGCACACTCAGGTTGAGCTACATGCCAGTCTGGTCTTTATGGTTAACAATACTTCTTCACTGAAGATGATACAATTAAACTGAACAATCCACATAGCTAGAAGTTTTAATACCATGTTTCTGCCTACCTCAATGTCAAGAAAACACATTTCCATGTTTTTTAAAGAAAGATTTGTTGAACACTTACATAAACCTACAATCTGCCAGGCTTTGATTTTGAGGCAGAGCATGAACTTGCAAAAGGGTTGTGCTTATTTTTCTATTTCTATGAAACAATATGCAAATGCAGAGGAGTTTAAAAGCCCCCTTCATTAGATCCCCTGTGCTGGTGAAAAGTAAGCTTGGCTAAGCATGTCACAGTGTTGACATCAATGCCTCGGGCAGGTGGCCTCCATTCAGCTTGTTGGCAGAACTCAGTTCCTTGGGGGTGTAGGACTGAAGTCCTTGGGTCCTTGCTGGCTGTCAGCTGAGAACTCTCTGACTCCTCTAGCCTACCTCTCTGCTCCTTCCTGGATGGCCCCTCTGATTCAAATAAAGCACCGAGTCACGCTGAAGATCTGCATCTCTCTGCTTGTAAGGGCTGAGGTCATTAGATCAACCCTGTGGATGGTGTTCCTGCCTTAAAATCAGCTGCATACAACATACACCGAGACTGTAACTTAGCATGACCATGAGATGAATACTCTGTCATGGTCACCGGTCTTTCAGAAAGGGGAGGGCATCTTTGAGGAGCAGAACTTAATAATAATTCTG